AATATCTTCTACCAACACGAGGAATTCCAAATAAAGGTACCAGAAAGTTTTTATCTGTAGGCTTATACCAGTAATATTCACAATATCTTCTACCAACACGAGAAATTCCAAATAAAGATACCAGAAAGTTTTTATCTGTAGGCTTATACCAGTAATATTCACAATATCTTCTACCAACACGAGAAATTCCAAAAGAAGATACCAGAAAGTTTTTATCTGTAGGCTTATACCAGTAATATTCACAATATCTTCTACCAACACGAGAAATTCCAAAAGAAGATACCAGAAAGTTTTTATCTGTAGGCTTATACCAGTAATATTCACAATATCTTCTACCAACACGAGAAATTCCAAATGAAGATGACTGCAAGTGTTGATCTTTGATAAGTAGATTAGATACGTCATACTGTGGACAAGCCACAACACAATACACAGTCATCAGTCACACACAGTCATAGGTACCATAGTCATTACGGCGCCCACACCATTACAACGGTCCGTGGTGGCCCCCAGCAACCGAAGTTACCTGAATGGGGTTGGGCACTGTGACGAAGCCTAATAATTTCGCATGGACTGGTTCCATATCCATGCAGCCTCCTGCAGCGCTCTGATCGTTTCACTTCTGGATACCTGCAAGTCTTGATCTATAAGATCCCTTGAAAAGAAAATCTAAAGTTATATAAACCATAATTAGATTACATAGATTGTGCCACATCTAGTAGGTAGTATCTGTGCTAAAGTTTTCCACTTAGACTTGGCTACATCTACCACAAACTTCAAATAGTTTCTCTTATGTCCCTCCCCAGTGAAAATTTGAAACATAAATCTTCTTATTTTGTTCTTATTTGCTTGGAATTTCATTTTTAATACTAACTTTACTTGTAATTGTGTTGAAACTTATCTTGTTATATGTTTTATCAGATATGGATAGCCGAAGACGTGTTTATTTCCACCACAAATCCCCATTGTTTCTGTTACATTTTACTTTAGGAACTTCCGCTGAGGACTTTGTGCGTGTTTCAGAGTGGAAGAATGAAGAAACGAGAAAAAGCAAGTTCGACAAGTTCCGAGATGCCCTTGCGCGGGTGTTAAAAATTGGTCAAGAAAACATTGACATTTTTACTGTTTACCTAAAGCAGGAGCGGCCTCCTGTAACTGATGTTCGGTTTGCTGCCCACGGGTCTACTTATTATAAAGCCAGTATCCTGAATGGAGCAGTAGACTTAAACAGGAAGTTGGTAAATTGAAGATTAAATTCTCATTGCATAAAATTCTATGATACTCTTAGAAAAACGTGGAAAACAATTCTTACATTTATTTTCACTAGATACTTAACTTTATATTTCTGTCTCACATATAGTGGTTTTTGATCTTTTATGATATGATTCAGTAGAAAAAGTATAAAAATAAAAGAATTGTTATTGAATAAGGTAATAAAATCATAAAATAATATTCAACGTTAAACTGGTACACATATAAAAACATTTTATTTAGGCCTATCTATGGCCTTCCAAAAGTTGACGACTCTGCATGTTTCGACGTTACAACGTCATCTTCAGGAGTGAATTATACTGTGTACATTGCGTACCAGTTTAACGTTGAATATTATTTATGATTTTAACTTTATACATAAGTGCCAAAATACTATAATTAAGGCAATAAAGTTCTACAATACAAGATCCAGTTAAGTATATAATTTACTTTCAATCACAGTAAATCTCTTTAAAAGTCCGTTTAGTCTATATCTCGTAACCGTTTAAAATATTTTAATCACACTATGCTAGAGTAGAAAGTATAGGAGCTACAAATAATTTCAGTTAGCGACAATTTCATTCCCAAACAAGTATTTTAAAGTGTTTTCACCGATTATCTCCTACTTCTGTTCTGTTGATATCAAACCTGGAGAAAACAATATGGTTTTTGCACCACCTGGTGGCTAGTGTAATAAAATACTTTGCATTATTGTTCAGAAAAGCAGTTCTTGAAATCTTTAATTATTTTCCTTTGGTAATGACAAAAAATGCAAAAAATATAAATATTCTTTAGGCCTCTAACACTACTTGGTAATGTTGCAGCACGGCCAACAGATGTAGAAGAAGAGACGTTTTGTTCCCCTTAGTTTGTAAAGTGAAACATTTTGCTTAATAATTTATCATTATTTACAAACTATTCTCATCACATAGCTTCAATACAAACGATATATATGTGTGTGTGTGTAGAATCTTATAAAAAGTGTGTTTCTATACGTGTCTGCCAAACGCATTTATTAATTTAGCACATGTGGTTACATAATGAAAGAGTCAATGAAAGTGTTAGTGGTTTGCTTATGCCTAGCGGCACAAACAAGAATTATTCATTATCATGAGTTTTTAGCAATATATAAAGTTTATTGCATCCCATTTGAGCTTAAACAGAGATTATGAAATTGTAAAATACATCGATTGAGTATGGTTGGTAGGAGCAATAAGCCTTCTAATAAATGTTATACGTGTTATTCATATTGCTATTATCTTTATATATTTTATTAACTTTTACATGCGTTTATTTATTTTGCATTTATATTTACGCTTTCTTCAATTTAAGACGTAATGTAGTGGTTTTCATATTTTTTTCAGTTCTTAACAATAGACATATATTTTAGTCCTTGCTTATTTCCTTCCCATGCAACAGATAGAACAGTTAGTGGACATAAACATTGTCATGGTAGGGATCGATGAATGTATATATGAAAAGGTAAACTGTGAAGGAAGCTGTACCAACAAGCTAATGGTCGAGAGTCATCCTGTTGTCGTCAACGCCAACAAGACCTCATTTGTTGGAATCAACAGCTGGGTGAAACCCCAATGTAAATGTGGAGCTCGAGAGTTTTCGGAACCAGAGACTTGTAAAAAGTATCCTCCTACGTGCCTCAATGGTGGAAGATGTAACATCGCTGGGAATGGCATAAAGTGAGTGAGCACTACGTGAACTAGTCTTATAGAATGTTAAATAATTACTTCAACTTCATTAGAATAATGACGGGAAAGAGTCATGACTTCTTGTGTGTTTAATCTATTAAACACATAATACTATTACTGAACATCATTGAAAAATAAGGCAAATAGAAAAATAAATGGAAGGTATTTCTAAATAGCGTGGAAATATAATGTCAATCAATAAAATCTTAAACGCTGTAGTTGTTTATTGAATACTCTGTTTCATAGGTGTACTTGCACAGAAGGATTTACGGGCCCTCAATGTCAACAACCTGCCCGTTTTTTCAATGGAAATGGTTGGGCTTGGTTTCCTCCTCTTCAGCAGTGTGAAAAGTCCCACTTCAGCATCGAGTTTATGACCAAAATAGGAAACGGCTTACTACTGTATAATGGACCTATTTCGGACCCTGACTACGAAGAGGAAGGAGTACAAGATTTTATATCACTAGAGCTCAGAAATGGAAAACCAAGATTGTTAATAGATTTTGGTTCTGGAACAGCAGAAGTTTTAGTTGATACTCAAGAATCCTTAAGTGACGGGGCATGGCATAAAGTGGACATATTTTGGGATAGAGAGGTACTGGTATTTTTTATGGCAGGAAATTTATACAACATCTGTGTCAAATTAACTTTGAAATAACCAGACTTTTCAAATAACACATTCACATTTTCATGGGTTATATTTCGTATTTTAGCTTAGGTCATTGGTTTAAACGAAATTATTGTTGTTATCGTTGTCATTTCCTAGATAGTTATGACCAAACGAATTTCGGTTCTCTTTAACACCATGATAAATTCTGTCCTCGATAAAAATACTGAATATTATGTTTAAATATATTACAATAAATATCCAAAAGAAAGGCAGAAATGTGTACAATGAAAAATGAATAAGTGGCAGTCCTGGGAACCATGTATTTATAATTTGTAATTTCTGAAACACTTTTGATTCTTGGTGTGATTGGTTGAAGCAAATAATTCCTGAATCGTTTTTTGTTTTCTTTTTAAATTAGCAATTATTATCACACTGCGCTAAAAAACTAGCTATATACTTGCTTTGAATCCTATTAATTTTGGTTGAGGCATAGCCTTTTGGTTAGTATGTCATACTGCGCAATGAGTGTCCAAGACTCGAGTAGTAACACTGCTGAACATAAACGGGACATTTAGCTATGGGCGTGGGATAAAAGTCATTGTCAATCTCTCTATTTTCTTCAAAAATTGACTGTCTTCCTCAGGTCAGAAATTCAAAACTTGGGACTGTTATAACCGAATCCTAGGGGTCTCTGGCGTAGCCACTAGCCCAAGTATGGTTCAGGTTGAAAGTTTTCAATTTCTGTTGAACCTACAAGCCATAACATTTTATCATAGTTTCAGGTTGCTAATTTCTTCTGAATTTCAATAATTTTAAAGCGTAATACTTTAAAGTTAAAACAAAGTACGTGTCCTAACTTTAAAATTATGGTAAAACTGTATATGTCAGAAGTAATAATATAGTTTTTCTAATCCAGTTACAACAATTACAACTTAAGTGCAGACTTACTTGAAAATCTTTTAAAAAATGCTTGTTTGATCTCAGATCATTAAAATTTAAGCTTGTACACTAAAGATTTGCTTGAATTCACATCAATTTTCACGTTGAGTATTTGCATTTAATTTTGAATTCAATTAAAAATTGAAAAACAAAAATCCACAAAACATTGAAATTGATTATTTATTCTATTTATGAATGAAATTTTAAACTGGAAACTGCTTAAACCTTCTTAAAACCCGAAGTGTAAGTTTTCTTTTTATTCAATTAAAACGTAAAGTTTAACATTTTTAAAAACCAAGTTAAAACTAAAATCAAAATTACAGTTCTTTTTTTAACAAATTCAAAATGGAAATTAAGAGAGCGTATTTTCATTAGTTAAAATTATAATTTCTAGTTTGACCTAAGTCCAATTAAACCTAAATACTAAATATTTTCAGTTTAATATAAGTTACAGGTTTTCTTAAATCCTATTCAAATTAAGAATGTAGACTTGTCTTAAATCGAGTTTGAAATCTAAGGTTATTTCCTATATCAATTATTATATTGTGCTGAAAGACATAAAGAGCTTTGCAACTGAACTGTTATAGCGTTGTTTTACACAAGTAACTATAAAAAACTCAAGCATATGAAATATATTATATTATAGAAATCTACTTCATAAGTTATACATCATTGTTATTCGAGTTTTGTTTTTTATTAATATAAGACAAAAACTATAATAAAAGGACAACCACTGTGTCTCTCAATAAAAAAAAACTATATTACTTCAATGAAATGAAATAACTTATTTTCGATTGTCACTATCCTTGGAAAAATAATTATAGGATTTCAGTATTTCAGATAAAAACATTTTTTGGTGATAATTGAAGGAATAAAGATGTACTTATATAACTCCTATGGTGATTTTACATTATTTTTGTGTCAAGATAAACACTAATTATATTTAGACGAAACTATATACCTATATTATGAATTTTAAAATGCCAAGTTTTGTCGTATAAATTATGATGGAGTTTTCAGCGTAGCAAAACGATTTACGTAAAACAAAGGGTTAATTACGATATGGAACATAATAGTAGGACTTAAAGGTAAAGTTTTATTGTATTTGCTATTTTAATTCTAATTATTTGTGTAAATCGGGAACAGCTTTTTAAAGTCTTTAGAGTTATAAATTGAACAAATTAATATCTAAAATCACCTACACGAACATTAATATCATGTTAAACTTCTTGACCTCAATCCGATTCCGGCAAGTAATCATTTTTATAATTGTTTATTTTGATCTTTATGTTCGTGAATTCCTGTTCTTTAGTCTTCGTGATAACGAATAAGGAGAAAAGGTGTTTCTGAAAATATCTAAGTCCAATAAATTCTTATATGTTTTTTAATTTGGCCGTTTAAATAGAGATAAATCTTTACTTATATGTGTGAATACCAAATCTTCAGAAATGTTTTTAATGATCTTATGATTCACTGATATTATATTGTTTGATTGCAGACTTCATTATATAAACAATTGTTATCTTTTTTAGATATCTGATACTGTTATACCGTTTTTAAGAAATGGAATGTAATGTATCAAATTATAACAATAATTCTCATGTTATTTTCCTTTATTCCGTTCCCAATTGTTATATCTTGTCCTACTACCTTTCCTAAAAAGCCTATATCCTAATGTCCGTAGTATTGCGGTATATTACAACGGAATCAGGCGTTCACTTAATTCTCTTTGTTGAGGCTGTAATGAACCCGAGGAAAATGTTTCTGCCTAAATCATGCTGCTAATACAAATATGTGCCCAAATGTTACTGCCATTATACCATGTCTTTATTCTAGTCATTTTACTACCTCAGCTGTTATTTAAAGTTACTTTAGTGCGTTTCCAAAGAAAAAGAAAAATACATATTAGACAATAGTACAGTGCTATTGCTTTCATTGCACAATAATTCTCTAACAACCCGAGAAATGGTGGAATGATAACCCGAAAAGGTGTGGAATAAAACGTTAGAACATACAGTAAAGTTAGCGCTTATTTTTCATTACTCTGCCTACAATTGAGTAAGACAATGGTAACAGTTTTCTTCAAGGCAGCCCCCCCCCCCGTGGCACAGCGGTATGTGTGCGGACTTATAACGCTAGAAACTGGGTTTTGATACCCGTGGTGGGCAGAGCACAGATAGCCCATTGTGTAGTTTTGTGCTTAACTTCAAACAAACAAACAAACTTTAAGGCAGTGCTTATCAGTTTCTTGCGACAAAAGTGGAATAGCATTTCTCAAGATTCACAAAACGAATTTAAGTAAATAATATTTATATGCTAATTAAACATTGCAAACAATTTACCGTCAGTGTGTATTACTCACCATACTGTCTGATAATGTATCGTGCAAGAGAGAGAGAGAGAGAGAAGATTATGGATATCTTTAGCTTTTGTTTTGTTAATGCGAAACTACATAGTGGACTACCTGCATTCTGTCCATCCTGGGGAAATTAACGTTGGATTTTAACATTGCAAATCCGTAAACCTACTTCTGACCCTCCGGGAAAGATTTTCTTTTCTTTTAGCATACATTTATATGAGTCTTTGTATATAAGTTCGAGGTTTATGGTGTGAAATACTCCGATAATCTTAGAAAAGTGTTTGTATCTTTTGAATTCATACGCTGTAGTAGAAATAGTTATTAGCATCTTAAATTGCGACGGGCGAGACCTAGTGGATAGCGTGCTCGGACTGTAGACCTGAAGGTTCGTGGTTTGTGGTTTGTACATTTCCACAAAAACGCACTCTACAGTTGAGGACCGTTGATGCGCTATAAGAGTGACAATAAAATCCCACTATTGAGCCAACAGTTGGCGGTCGGTACTATTGATTAGTTACATTCTCTCTAGCCCTTCAGTTCAGATGTAGGGACGTTTATGCGCATAGAGTCCTTTAGGTAGCTTTGCGTGAAAATTCCGAAACAAACCTAAGCTTTGATTCTCTTATTGTTGCATTTGTTTTTATCAGAATGCAAGAATGATGGTGGACAACTGTGTGTACTCCCAACATACAAGTACTGACCCATCTATCTCGGACAGATCAAAATGTGAAGGAAAGGGAATAATTCCACCATTCAATGAATTTCTCAACGTTAATGGTCCATTGCAGCTTGGAGGAGTTCATCATAAACTGCTAAGTTTCAAGTGGAAGTTTCAGCACACTCGCGAAGGATTTGACGGATGTATCCGGAATGTTATTCACAATAGTGAGGTAATTGCAAAGTCATTTATGATTGGCGATGGATATGTGGAGCCATTTATTAACTGTTAATTCACTATACTTGTCGTACGATATTAGTAGTTGGCCTATTATATTTTTAACACTACATTCTTTGTCTAGTCACTTAGGAATTTTCTAGAATAGTTTGAAATACCACTATTATACAATCGTTTAATTATTGAAAATCCCTAAGGGACTAAATAAATAATGCCGCGTTAAAAATATATAGGCCTAATACTAATGTCGCATGATAAGTGTAATTAATCATAACCATGCTTCGTCAACTTGGAAAGGGTATTCACACTATAACAAATGTTGTATTAACTGCTAATGTATGTTATTAACATATTTGCATGAAATAAACGTTCCTTGTGTTTCGTGCCTAGTGTTTTCGAAACTTGTTTATGTTCTTGTCGTATTAAGTCGACATTATTTCTCTAACAAAAGATAACTTAACCTTTAAGAGCGACTAAGAAAAGAACATTTGAGTGTTTGTAAATCTATCTTAACTGTTTCATAGAAAACTTTAAAAAAATATATTAATTAGCTATTTCAGGATGTCACCATTCTGTGAGATATTAAATACTTTAAACATCACTAGGAAACACTGGAAACGAGATGGTAAAAACGCATAACGTACTTGAATGCTTAAAACTAGAATAATATGTATGTAACTGTCACAAAGATTGTATACCTTAGAGAATTTATGTTCCTTAAGTAAAATGGCTTAAAGCTGTATTTGAAACAATGTAGTTTGTAGCACTGACAGAAACTGCTTGTAAAGTAAAATAAGGCAACAATATACATTTTTACATTTGTAAGAATTTGTATCTTTTGTTTTTAATTTATCATGTTTTTTCTATTTTAATATTGAGAAAAAAATAAGGAAATACATTTGTTACATTTCCTAAAAATGAGTTTCCACAAAAGTCACAATAAATAGGTCTATAAAAGTTTCAAAAATCACTTTAATTTTTTTAAAGCAGTATTACACACACCCATATATTCTAATTTATAAAAATCAGTATATTATAGTTGGGTGATGTCAAAGTAATCAATCAAACTAATAGTGTTTAAGAGTTTACTCAACGAATGTTTTGAGTCTTTGTGAATGCCCTATAGGTGTATGACCTGGCTTCCCCTGGAAGCTCTTCCGGAAGCCACAGTGGATGTCCACCATCTGAGAAGATATGTTTTGATAACGGTATCACGTCAAATTGTAAAAATGGATATTGTGAAGCATCATATCAAAAGGCTTTATGTGTTTGTTACCCAGGATGGCATGGGTCTCGATGCGATAAATGTAAGAAAAGTAATTCGAATTTATTAAAGGGAGATAATAGAAAACAGATAGTACTCAAAACTTTGTAAAACCAGGGTTTAGATAATGTACAATGGATAATATTAAAACTGCTGAATATATTGACATTATGTATATTACGTTTACTTTCATTTTCATTAGAGTTTCGTCCATCTTAATGTACAAAACACATTAAATCAGAATACAAAATATGAACCTTTCTAGTAATTATAACGACATTACAATCAGTTTTGTGTATTCATATTTATTTCTTATTTTATTCAATTTTAATAAGACCAAAGTCTTGATGTACGAACGATATATGTATATATGTGTTATCTATTGCTAGAGGTGGGGTAACTCGTAATATGAATCACATGGTGACTCTATAAGGATAACCATACCTTTAGACTTGTATATTGCTTTTTCACGTTTACACTAACTTGATATTTGTTTATATAACCTAAGAATATTTCATATTTTTTTTCCAGATCTACTCTAAAAAGGTGAAAACTTATTATAACGTTTCTATATTAAGTGAATATGCAAGACGTTTTGTATATGGTAACTATGTGCTGCTTAGGAAAATTGTTCGAGCAATGTCGCACTTACCGATAGCTGTATCATTAATCTTAAAACTACTTGCACATATAAACAAAAGAGATAAGAAAGGAAAGCAATTTTGCATGTTTATATTTGAATAAAGGTTCTTTAAGTTTACCAGTTTAGAAATGCAAACGTAGATACCCGTATTATTTTTCTACAAACAACATTTCAGATTTGGAGTGAATATATATAACATAATAGAAATTGATTAGATTAAAGGGCAGAATAAAATTTTGTAATTCATTAAGTTTGCCAAGGCCCCTTGACAAAACTAGGCTTAACCATATAACAATGCCTGTTATAAGGCATGTTTCTTGACTTCACATTTATATGGTGTTTCTGTGTTCACCATGTCCAGGATATTACTAACTTGAGAACAAGTTTTAGACATTCTCGTTTGGGATCCAATGTCAGCTTCATCCTCTCATCAGAGAAACTTAAGACAAAATTTCACTAGAAAAATAATGCTGAACATTTCATAATGAAGTAGTAGTTATCATGAACCATGATATTGGTTCATAATAGGGTTTGTACAGGAATTTCAAAAAATTATAATAAAACATACTGGCAAAAACCATCTTAAAAAGTAGACTTGTTCTTAAAACAACACTCAAGACCTTCTATCTCAGTGACTAAGGCTGTTTAAATAATGATAATAGCCAAAACGTTGATTTCCAATTGTTAGGAAAAATTCTAAATTCATCCATTTGTTCTTCATATTATTATTATTATGCATATTGTCCTTGTCTCACAAGCTTACAGAAAAAACGACTATGAATATTGTATTCAAATCTGGGCAAATCTACTAAAGAAACTCCTGCACAGGTTATAGGACTATGTATATGTTGATCCTTGAAAGAGAAGGAGAGATTTTATCAGTTTTTCATCTCTACTGGCCGAGTTTCTCTTCGAAGCCATTCAAGCGTTAAAGCTTATAGCAAAACGGGCTACGTATACTGCGCCAAAATCTATGCACAGCTACTAAACAAACTCCTGCGAGGTTGTAGGGCTATTTTTAAGTTGATTCTTGAAAGTCGAAATGTCCACCCTCTACAATTTTCTAAGTTCTTCTTTGTTACCAACATAAGCTCTTCGAAGTCATTTAAACATCGCAGAAATGTAGAAGCTATTTAAGCACCGTTATGCTACTCTGAAATGTTCCATTTTATACTAGTCAGAAACGCTTTATTTTTTAGAGTAAACAATGTGAACATTTATAACAGTGTCTCCATCCTTATTATTATTGATTATAGTTTTACAAGCCCCTACAGAAAAAAACGGCTATGAATATTTTACTGAAACCTAGACAATAATAATAAATGCAGTATTGAGTATGTCATAGGGTAGTTTTAAAATTAGTTCAAGCCCCTTCGTTTTTCGCCCTAACTAATTTTCCTGAATCCTTCACTTTCCACCAGTGAAAAAATCCGATGTTTTACTAATGTGCATCAATTAGAAAATAATTTGTGCAACTTATAGCGCATTAATTGGAAACTGCCATGTTGAGGATTCATTATTTCTCGAGTTTGCTGTTGAAACTTGTCTCTACATGGTTTTCTGCGACTATTTCAGTGAGTTTTCTGACAGTAGACGATTAACATAGTAGATTTTTCTACTCTTGTGGTGATTTATTCTACTAATTTTCGTACTTCGCTGAAATTGAGCGTGCGTATTTTAGCATTAGTTTATTATTCATATTTTTATTTTACAAGCCTATAGCAAAATGGCTGGGTATTTTGCACCAATATCTAGACAGATATACTCTATGAAACGCTGGGAATGTCCACGACCAATATAAAAAGTTGATTATTTTTCATTGAAAGTTAGTCTAGTGGCTATAAATACATAATATATGCGATGTTGTTGTGAGCGGCTTCCATTGTACTCGACGCTTGTTAAACGCGTGTTTGCACGAAACCTCAGGCACAAAATCACCTGGCTTAGTAAATAATGGTTTGGTGGGTTAAAAAAACCAATGCGGCAGTAAACTGTTGAAAAACATGTAACATTCAACCGAATGCATATACACGTGTGTAACTTAAAATGTATTCTCCATAAATGGACATAAAAACTTAAGAAACTAAAATTGATAAGTACTGTAGACTTGAAGTCAAAATATGGATTTGTAGCTTGAGAAAATAATGTAGACACTATTTCCTTGTTTGTTTACTTTTTTAGAGACCCTAGTTGTAGCTTTAAAATATAATCTTTGCATTTTGATTCAATTTGTTTCTGCACTTTTTTGACGATCCCTATTCCCCTTTCTAAATTAACAATATCTAATTATCTTGTAAGCTTATAACTAGTATTGTCTCCTTTCAGCAACACAGACTAAAATGTTTCACAATTGTTTCGTTTCAGCAACACAGACTAAAATGTTTAAAAAAAATAGCTACATTAAATATGCACTCTCCTTTACACCTGACGCCTTTAAAACAGACATTCAACTCCAATTCAGAACTCGACAGAAGCATGGTGAGCTCTTCAGAGCTGGCAGCAAACATGGTCGAGAGTACTTTGTGTTGGAAGTAAGTATTTTGCTTGAAACTCGAGTAACTATAAATTTAGGAACTCAGATCAACGTGAAAAGTCAAAGAAACTTGGAGATAAACGCTTATATAGTGTGTGTTTGATAATAATCTTCGAACTTTATAATAATCGAACTAACTAATACTAAGAAATGAAATGCAAGTTAACCCACACATGGCACAAATGTGAAAATTATATAAACAGAAATCTGTCCAGTTTTATCTTATGATCATCATTTAAGTCAGGAAATTAGGATAAACTATTAAATTACACATTATATTATTTTCAAGTGACACAGAATCTTTATGAAACTGTAGGTAATTTTCTTTTCCCATAAATAGTCTAATTTACTGCAGTTTTGTGAAGTTATTTAAACGCCTAAGGTAGCAACGATAATTTAAAAACCATGTTTCAATGTAAACAAATTTTCAAGTTTAAGAGACGTATTTCTAGAGAAGGAACTGTTGGTATAATTCTTCAATAGACAGCCACTGTGTATGATTTTTAATCTCTATTTTTTCTTTGTACCTCTCACCAGTTTTTACTGTTAGATGTGCACTACTGGATATACACGAATTATTTTAACTAACATAACATATAATTTAAAGACAAGAAGGGAAATACACTATATATAGAGTACACACAAACCCAGCATTTGTCATTTAAATATTTATCAAGCCTTCCCTTAAACTCCCTTAAGTTTACAGAATTCACCACATCTAAAGGCAATCCATTTCAAAGGACAACCACCCTATTAGAAAAATATGAATATCTTGGCTGAAGATGACTCTTACCTTGCCAAGATTTATATTTTGTCCCCATTCCTACCATTCTCATCGTTAAGTACGAGGAAAGATGATGCATTGACACTATCAATTCCCTTAACAAGCTTATGCATCTGAATCAGATCCCCTCTAATTCTTCTTTTTTTTTCAAGAGAAAGCAATTTCAGAGATCTTATCTTCTCCTCATATGACAGTCATTTCATACCAGATATCATGCTAGTAGACCTCCTCTGAATCCTATCCAGCAATTCAATATCCTTCTTCAGGTAAAAACCCCAAGACTTAACACAGTACTCCAAATAAAGCCAAATCAAGAACTACATAATGAAATTTTAACCTCTTTAGACTTGTATTCAATATTTCTTTAGGTACAACATAACATTTTATTTGCACTATTTGAAAAATATTATTACTTACAAAACTGATAAACACAAGTGTGCTACTGAAATTCACGCAGTTTACTAAGAGTTGTTCGACATATTAAAATGTTTCTACATTTCCTTGTTAGATGAAATATGAACACTTTAATAACAAAGTTGTGGTCATGCTAATGTTGAATTGTCACAAACTTGATTTACAAAATACAATAGGAAAAAGGTCGTTTGTGAAAAGTATGATTGAATTCACGAGTTCCGTCTGACAAATTTTCTAATGTGTAACAAATTCTTTTATACCTAATGAATTGTGAGAAGCAAACAAATATAGAATAAAGTATTTAAAGGAACACTTTTATTATGAAAACTAACTACTTTTAATAAAATATTAAAACATGTGGCTTGGGTATGTAATTTGTATATAAAGTTATAGTACTACTGTTTGGGTGTATTTATGTCTCAATTATTTATAGTGTGTATTTATGTTTATTTGCCTGCTTGCTGGTGTTTAGTCTCTTCTGATATGCCTACAAAAGTAGATACGTAAATATTTGAGAGTATAAAGTATTTGATACACTAAGAGTCAGCTTAAAGTGAATATTCATCGAAACTCCAATTTAATTTGTGACGTGTTTTTTTCTTCAATGTTTTCTCATTATTTTTAGATACATAATTCATTTTATTGTTATTTAAAGGTCAGAGACGAAAAACTTAGACTTCGATTTAACCTGAATCCTTATAGAACGACTGATGAAAAAGAACTTTGGCTGCCGGATGTTTCGGTCAGTGATGGTCAGTGGCATTCCGTAAGGGTATTGAGATATGGCAGTACAGCCAGTATCATATTGGATGGTGGAGGTGGTCGCCGTTTAAATGAATTGATAGATTATGAAGAACAACACCAAGAGATGGAGATAGAGAAACAGAACGTGGTTACTGGTGGAGACGTACAATACGTTGGTCCTGGAGTTACGTTGGTAGATAGTGATTTTCAGGAAGGTGCAGAATTTTCTTCTGTTAAAATGATACATTTATTTGTTGTTGTTTTTTATATTCATGACAGAACCTGAATTTCCATAAAAAATCATCATTCCTGTGTCGTGGCCATTAGATTGCTCTTTAGAGACCGAAAATCAGAACTGTAAAACAAATAGTATTTCCAACATCAGATTATTTATTTCTACATTAATTTAATAACAGAATATGATGTTTGAACAATTCTATACATAAAAATACGATATTATAAATCATGCAATTTGTATATACTGCTTAGGCATCTGCATTAGATCCCATCTTTCAAAGTTCTTTGTAGGTAATGAATACAGATAAAAAGCCTATACTAAATCCTTATGTTTTTAAAGATCTTTGTAGTAATGATTTAATTAAAATTAATGTCTATAGAGAGGGAATTTAGATTGTGTATCGACTTTTCCACAACTTGGATTTAACATACAAAGGTTGTTGGACCTCTATCTGTTCAAAATTATATATATATATATGTGCGTGTGTGTAAAGCTACATGACAATTGGGTTATTGTGTATACCAGTTTTACAATAACTTAAGTTGCATATTGATCTTCTGCAGTCCTACAATTACACATATACCAGCATAAGCAGAGAACAATTATACTAGCTACAGTCATTGTTGTGTTTATAGTAGATTTTGATTCCTCTATTCGATCAAAGCAAGTATGATACTTCAGTCACTATAATCATGCACTATACATTCCAGGTTGTCTTAACGATATCAGACTTGATGAAAAATTTCTTCCTATGGAGAATGGGTCTGAGAATGCAGCTGTGATAGAGTGGAACAACATAATACCCGGATGTCCATCTAACTACCCTTGTAAAGGTGTGGACTGTCCACTTCCTTTTATCTGCAGGGATATGTGGCTTATTCATGAATGCAGGTTAAGTGGTTCTCCAGATTTACTAAATTTAACGTATAAAAATTTTTGTTTGTTTATTTGAAGTTACTCACCAAGCTACACAATAAGCTATCTGTGCTCTGCCCACCACGGATATCGAAACCCGGTTTCTAGCGTTGTAAGTCCTCAGAACATTTATGTATTATTCAATTATATATATTTAGTTAAATATGTATTACAGGCGAGAGTAAAATCACTCCAAAACTAAGGTATGAAAGTAGAAGAAGTAAGTGTTTTCTACAAACATATTGAGCTCAAATATTATCTATAACGTAGATCAGTATTAGAAATTAGACTGTTTATATAAGATAAGGAAGGTATAGATTTTGTGAAATTAGACTGTTTATATAAGATCTATGAGATCATATTTAAGTGCTTAGAAGATACAGTAAATACATTAACACAGCGCTACTTTTATCAGTAAAAATTCTTTTATTCTTCCAGGGACGCAATGTTATGTAAAAATAGGAGACTAATTTTCCTGTATTCCGAGCTAGTGATGGAAGTAGACTTGGTCTCATTTATATGTGCCTGTTGTTTTCACATTTTATCTCAGAAAACAGACCAATCTGTACAGGGAGTTGAATATTTATGACTAATTTACACGTTTATCTGTCGTTGAACTATATAATGGTTTCTGAGAATAATATGTTTTATCTTTTCGACTCTCTCGTCACCTAGTGAAAAGTTAAATAATGTCCATCTTTGGAATATCTCCAGTAATGTATTAAAAAGTTTAAAATATAATTTCAATTTCTTTAAAAGTCTTTAGCATATTGAAGATAGTATATACTTATGATATATATATATACACTATATTAACAAATTTTTCAGAAAAGTCTATTGCACATAGTAATGAGTCCATACTCACTGCATTTGCATGTAAATCCCACTGGCGGCCCAAAATTAACCAGTTTATTGAAACTTTAAAACATGTTGTGAAACATAAACTCACAAGTGACATCTTATCCATCATACAGATCTTTAATGAATTCAGATTTGCAGGCCAACAATATCTCTGTGTGACTAGACTTTAGTGAATAAAGCTGTGTATGTATAGCGTCGATTCTCACTGTGCCTTCAACGTCAAAACCGAGGGGAAAACAATGGAAAACGATTACTGCTGGCTTTGAATGGGCTGGTATAGAATTTGACGACAAGTTGAGAACATTTAGGATGTAACTGTATTATTCCAAAAGTGGAGGATGATATTATGGCTGGTTTGTAACTGATCCAGTTATTAGATTAATTAATGGTTTGGTGTGCTGTTAAATTCTGTAGAATGCTCTTTTGCCCATAATGATGGAATTTTATGTAAAATGATCATACTTCCTAGAGTGACAATACATCCTGCTATATTGCATGAGTGCCCAACATTGGTTTGAAACAAATAATATCCAGAATCTGCTTTGACCAGCCCAGAATCCTAATCTGAATCGACATTAACCACTGTGATGTTTAACGGACAGAATCCTGAATATTCACTACACTTAGAACCATTTTTAAACGATAGTAGCAGTCTTTTACTCCGGGTGTTTACATGTGACTGGTAGTTATTAACAGATTCCAGGCTACGATTAACACCACATAACTGGAATTCCACTGACGAAACACGATACCCTCTTCTCAAGTTCTGTTATCCTAGTAATGTTTGTAATATGGTATATGTATCTTGTCAGAATGATAATAAAATATTAATTTTTCAGTTGTCCGGATGGTTTTATGAAAACTCCAGATGGGCTGAACTGTACTGATGCAGATGAATGTTTCATTAACCCTTGCTTTAATGGTGGAACCTGCATTGATCTACCAGATGGAAGAGGATTTTATTGTATATGTCTAGATGGATATAGTGGGATCGACTGCCAAACACTGGTGGAAGCAAACACCATTAAACTTAGCATGGGTGCCTTAGCAGTCATATTGTCTTGTTTATTGTTTATTTTAGGTTTGTGTTGCCTATTCATAGTTATCACAATACACAGTTTAATTTATTCTGTTTTCAAATATTTTTGGGGATGGAAAATATGACTGTGTTCTCAAAAATCACGAAAAAGTACTAGTGTTTTTCACAGGAAAATATAAATATCTAGCAAAGTGATCTTGTGTGGTGTACAAATCAACAAAACTTCAGTGTCATTGATTCTATACCACATGTTAGACCTGAAAATAAAAGGATCTTTACCCACAATACTGTTTTAGTTTAGTTGTTTGTGTGCAAATCTGAATAATATTATCATCGAGAGTAAATATGCATTACTTATTCATCACAAAAGATCCAAAATAAATACAAAAAAAATTGTGTGCCTGTTATTTCTAAAGTCCACGTTATAAAACTATCTGCATGTTCTAAGTTATGAAACTTGAAGCATGTTTGGATATTTTATGTTCAATACAATTGTGAAGGTATAATTTTATCCAAGAGATATTAAAACCATCTTTTCAAATCTATTTATACCTTAGTGATAATTGAGACCAACAAAATAGATAAAATTACTTTAACATTTGGAAATTAAATAACAATTCTCATTCAGAGATGTTTGTTCAGAAAGTAATTCACATTGACAACCCGTTAGATTTCAGCATCTTCCCTAAAATTGCATTTGATCTTCATCTCACTATACAGCACATCATAATCGACGTCAATAGAGACATTTCTGGTAATTATTTATTTATTATCACATAAAATGCGGACCAATCAAGACGTTATTATATATTAATACTTAATAATGCATGAAAATTGAGTTGAAACGCTCATAAACGTGTTAATTCGACAGTTATTGTTTTTATTTCAGTTTTAGTTCTATTCATCGTGGTGTATACCAGAAATCACAAAAAAAAAGAAAAAGAAGTGGATTCATACGCAACGGATGATCCTCTAGGAAATGTTGTAACTTATGCTGATGAAGGTGGAGGTGAAGAAGACATGATGAACTTTAATAAAGAACTACTAAAGGTTCCAGTAAACCCTGATATTGCTTCTCAAGAGATCCCTCTTCTCACCACGTCTCGAATGGTCCACCCAACAGAAGATGACAAACACAGATTAGGTAATTGTTTAACATACCGATTAATTTTCTTTCTTTAAAACGAATGTTATTTCATATTTATCAGATTTGTCATTATCTCAGTTAGTATAAGTTTCATTGTTACTTGGATTCGTTTAAAAAAATGAAAGTGTTTAATATGTTTAAAATAATATTTTTGTTCTTTTTGAATGAAAATCTAAGGTGTTTGTACTAGTAAACTAAATAAAGTAAACAACAGTAACATATACACTTACACTGTTATTCAGAGTTAAAAGAAATATACTGTTTTATAGGATAAAATATTCTGAGGTTTTATCGTTTCCATAAGAATACTTATACACATAAACGACCGATTTTAACGTATCCCGATGAAATAGTAGTTGAGCTCTACTTTTTTAACAGGTCCCTCACGAGCCAATGGGGGACACTTTTGTTTTAAAAAACCCTACCCAATCCGGTTTTTCTTAATTTTAACTGACATTTTTTTTACTCTTTTATTGGCTGAAAAGAAGGCCTTTTTCGCACTCTTTTAGCGTTGGGGCTGCGAAAAGTGATTTGAAGTGGTAAGGGTCAGCGCATCACGAGCTTAACGACAAAGCACAAGAAGCACGGAAGTCTCCAAATGACACAAAGAAGTATTCAGGAACCGTTTATAACCACTTAGGTAGATATTGCGCAGCAAGCCGAGTACAATATTATGCCTGTAGCTGCTTTCAAGGTGTTCCTGTCTGCTCATCCTGCAACTGACTATCGTGATTCTTCGACCTTCCCTACCGAATCGCATGTGAAATCGCTCGTATCTCAGTTGAAAGCTAAACATAAAAAGGTGATAGCCGGAGCATAAAAGGTTGGCAATTGCTTAATTAATGATGCTGCGAATGTGGCTTTACTGATATATATACTGAATTAACTCCCAGCGGGTAGACCTTAGTACTAGCTAATATGGAAACTTGAGGATGCTGTATTTCATTTAACATTTATCAATTAACAAACAAAAACTTGTATCGAAGTTGTCTCGAAATGATACACCCAAAACCACTCTCTTTAGGAGTTTTCTGATTGAACTTACTTTTAATATTAAACAAATTCTAGTGTAAAGACACCCCTTGGCTCCTGAGAGACGTGTTAAAGAACAATATCATTAATATGTGTATACAGAAAATATACTAAACAGTATTAGTGCTTTCAATAGCACTAAAACGTTTACAAAATTCAGTATCTCCAGTGTTACTTAGAGCATAATTTCCAAAGTGCATAAGGTGTGTTATTAGCAAATTCATGTTTCAACTTTCTGTACTGTATTTCGGTTCAATAAGTTGAGAACATTTAGATATTTCATAAACATTTTAGGAGGAAGCTAGTAATATACATTACCATTAGACTTACTTTATAAACAAATATTTGAAATTTGTATAATGCAGCATTATTAGGCGTATTGTTTTTGAATATATTTTCATATTAATTATACTTTATTAATATTTTATCTAGTAGCACCAGTATCACTACGATATGACCTTCGTTGCCCATCAGATAAAGAAGATTTGTTGAACAAGTTCAAAGAGGTGGACTCTGATACCAATACCCTACCTAAGGACGATATTAGAAACTATACCTATGAGGGTAGCGGCAGTTCGGCCGGTTCGTTGAGCTCTTTATCCTCTACTTCTGAGGACAATGAACAAGATTTTGATTATCTTCCAGATTGGGGACCACGATTTTCTAAATTAGCTGCTATGTACAGACAAGGAGGAAGCGATGAAGAATAGTACCTATTTGTTTGTAATGCACAAGTTTTGGGCACATTTGGTTACAGGTTACATTTTCATCTACTTTTTCGACAAAAATCACGTATGACAATAGCTTAGCTGACATTAAATGTATGTGTTCAACCGTCTGTAGATCATTTTAACTGTTTAACTCAACTTCTGTGTTAAAAAAACACAAGACTTCCTTGAGCTACAAACGGTGATCACACTTCCATCTTACTTTAAAGATGGCAAAGTCTTTCCTTGTTTAATTTCTAATTTCAGCGTTTATCATCTTGCTCTAAAATAATTTCTGCAGAATCCAAATAACCATAAAACAATATGTTAAATAAGTAAATTTAACTGTTTTTTTAAGTAAATGTAACTTTATTAACGTATATTCTGTTTAATTAAGCATGAGAGTACCCTACTTCTAAAACCTGCTTTAAAGCTTTATTTACATCTTTTACTACTCTACACGAAGTGACTTGACAAGAAGTGATATAACATTACAATGTTGCAGTTAATAATGTTAGCTACGTCGTCATTACGTTATATAAGTGTTAGGCATTTTAAATGTTTTGCTTTACCATTCATGATTAATAGAAAAACTTGGTTAAAAACTACCGAACTAAATATTATATGAAGAAATATATGTGAGCTATGTTAATCAAGACTGATATGAGAATCTGTATCGTGCGGCCTGCCGACTTTTATTATGTTTCTGGCCGAATTAAGTGTTACATGAAAGGCAAAATTAAGGAGTTGCCTATTTGCCGTGTGCTGGTTGAGTTAGCAATGTATATGAATCTGTTAAACCACGTACTTATTTGCTTAGTCATTGAATATTTGTTGCACCAAACTCTTATTCACTCAGTCGTTAACAGAAACAACACTCGTACAAAATAGGAAAGAAATGTCACGTCAAATAGATATGAACTGGCTTTTCCTAACACATGTTTACTCCCAAACGAAGTCCCAGCACTGTAATTGTTTTCTTATCTTATACTAGACATAGCTTCTAAAATTTCAAGAAGTTTCAATTATTTTTAAAGAATAATATTCGTTTCCGTATTAAATGTTTCTCGATATCACTTTACATCCTGACTGGAACATGGGACTTGCTTGTTTTCACACACGTTAGGCTCTGCAACGGAACCTCGTTGTAGCCTCAAAAAAAATATATATTTATATACTAAAAATATTGCACACACAACAATTAAGTTTGCATAAAACAAACAAAAAAACACGAACAATAGTATTGTATTCAGTAAATATAGAGCATTTTATAATAAATGATTTTCAACAAAAGCAAAGCAAGACGAGTTTAAGTTTTAAATTCTTTACCGGATAACGTTATCTATAATTGCAACATATTTTATATATATAAACTCTCCGAGAAACAAGAAATATATTTTGTTGAAAAAATGGAGGTTGGGCAAAAAAGATTGTGTGTGTTGCGTGAGAATGAAACATTATGGTACTTGGTGTTAATAATATTATATAAAAAGAAATTTTCCTGTTTTTAAATTTACCATCTACATATCATTGATTCATAGAATCCATTAATTAAAAGCGACTAGTTTCATGATTACATTATTGAACTGTTTGTTTTTTATTTTACTTTGATTCATTGGTTTCTATTCTATCTAAAAGTTTTGAGTTCATATTGTGATGTCCAAAACAATTTACGATGTCTCATATTTGTGATAAGATGCATTCCAGGATTGTTCAGGTCACATTAATGTTTTATCAATTAATTATGAAATTTCAAAATTGTGCATTATTACATTAATGTTTTCAGTATTAATTATGATATTTCAAAATTGTGCAGTATCATATTAATTTTTTCAATATAAATTATGATATTCCAGAATTGTACAGTATCACATTAGTGTTTTCACTATTAAATATAATATTCCACAATTGTGCAATATCACATTAATTTTTTCAGTATTGATTATGTTATTCCAGAATTGTGAAGTATCACATTAACTTTTTTTCAGTATTAATTATGATATTCCAGAATTATGCAGTATCACATTAATTTTTTCAGTATTGATTATATTATTCTAGAATTGTGAAGTATCACATTAATTTTTCAGTATTAATTATGATATTCCAGAATTATGCAGTATCACATTAATTTTTTCAGTATTAATTATGATTAAACTGTAAAAAATTACTTTTTATGTATTTGCTAAAAATGTTTTACTTCTAGCAGTATATATTTTAATTTATTATGACAGTTGATATATTAATTTTATAATTAAATACGTCGCGTTTAGTTTTTAAAATATACTATCTTTAACTTTGAGCCTTCAAATTGTATCAAAAAACGATAATTCAATACAATTCTACCTATTATATTTAAATAGAAGTATAAGGTTTTAACATTTTTAAATGACATTATTGTCAATTTTATGATCTCAAATATCTCACACAAGGATCCCAGGTAGAATTTTTACTGCATCTCAGTGTTTTTCCAAACTGGTGTCAGAGAAAGAGTTATCTTGTTTTAATTTATTCATTCAAATATAAATTTCTATCCTTATCAACTTTGTTTTCGTTAAAGAGATGTTCATTAAGAAAGTAATGAGTCGATGACGTTATGAGTATGTTACGCATGTCATCAGGACTAATATCATATTAACTTGCTACATGTTGAGTTGTGTGTAAACAAAGCTTTGTATTAACTGTAATGATATTCGTAAGTTCGTGTTTCATCAAGTCAGAAAAAAATTTATAGAATCATATTTAAAACAATTAATTAAATTGTGAATTATTTCGTGTTTCATCAAGTCACAGATAGTTTATAGAATTACATTAAAACATTTACTCATATTGTGAATTATTTCGTGTTTCATCAAGTCACAGAGAATACATAGAATCAGATTAAAACATTTACTCATATTGTGAATTATTTCGTGTTTCATCAAGTCACAGAGAATACATAGAATCAGATTAAAAGCCATTATTTATATTGTAATCTATTTGGTTCAGCATTAAGTTTATGGATTTACAAAGTTAAAACCTAGGATTTGATTCCCACAATGGACAGAGCCTTCCGTTTAAATAGAGTAACGCTGTAAAACATGTACGGATGAGCACCCATACTAGTCTGACACAGCATTGTAATTTTTGGAGTTGCAAACAGGTGGTGCTAATTGTGTTTCTCATTGGGAAATGGTCGGTGCTGTTAAAATCAAATCACAAATTGTGCCTGCAAAAATCATCGATGTCACCACTTGATATAGATCTGGGTTTAGATGCTCCCTTGGTAAACACATCGGTTTTCACGATGATGTGGGTTTTCAACCCACACTTGATAAAACTTCACATTTTTAGAGAGGACGTAGAATTAAAATATACGTTGTAGTCCGAACTGAAAATTATAATACTATCACTCTACAACTGGACATCAAAATTTATTTTCATACATAGTTTTACGTTCTCTTTCTTTTTTCTTTTTTTTGGGGGGGGGTGGTAGGTTCACATTATTTCAGTAGCGTTAAAGCTATCCTGCATTTATTTAAACAGATGCTTATTACCTTTCACATACTAATAATTAAAAAATTGGTGATACGAGCGCTTTCAGAAGGTAGACGTTCCTTTTATATTAGGTGACAATGATATATTAATGTGTTAGAAACGTTTATTTTACCTCGTAATTCAGTATGATATAAAATAAATTTATTCTACAAAACATCAAATATAACATATTTACTACCTCGATTTTTTAGAAACTTCGCTTCATCAAAACAATTAAATAAAGCATAAACCACTGTATAAAACGTTGTATGTTTGTATTTGTCATAGTTGTAAAAATTAAGATATCATCGTATAGTTCAAGTAAAAGCTGTATAGATTTCGGAAAAGTTACAATACGACAGGGACGATGAATAATTATTGTAAGAAGTTGATGTCGTTGTAATAATCTAGTTATTTCTGACGTCATTATGGCAGTCTCGATACATATACATAAGAATAGATTCGGCGTGGGGTAACGTCGTGTAAGATTTTAATAGCAACAAATAACGTGATATCCTCACACGACTTTAGAAGATTAATTATTGTGCAAACGCGATGATAAAATATTGATATCTCTGATAAAAATTAAGTCATCACGCCGTTTCCTATAATTAATTATTATTCTAGAAAATGATAGCAAGATTTTTCTGATGATTAATTATATTAAGAAATTGATTTTTTCGGGTTGAATGATTAATTATTGTACCAATCGTTTCGTCGTTATGTCAAATGTGATGGAAGTATCAAACTTCTTTCTGTCTTTTGCACCCCGGTGACTCAATGGTAAGTTTGAAAGCTTATAATGCTACAACTTGGAGGCTGAACCCCCGCGGTGGGTAAAGCACAGATAGCTCATCTTGCGCTTTATGCTTAACATCAAAACGAACTTTTTGTCTAGGGTATCAGTTATGAAGTAACAGATTTGGCACACTAAATTTTCAATCGTTCCCATTTTTGTTGAAGAAAAACAGAATGGAAAAGGAATTTATCTCACTGATGGCATCTAATTAAATTCCTTACAAAAGAAAGACCACTGAGTTTTCAAAAACACATTTGACCAACGCAGTTGACTAATCAATACTAGCACTAAATGAAATTATAACTCGAGCTCAATATAAAGTATTCAAGTTTATGAAAACAAAATTTTCTAATTCACAACTGTGGAGAGGCCGAACGTGGCTTAGTGATTAACATGCTGGGATGCGTATCTGAAGGTCCAAAGTTCGAGTCGCAGTATGCCGCTGAACTATATTCGAACTCTCAATTGTGGGGCTATATGTCTCGCTATTCACTTATTAATAGCCATAAAACAGGCGGCGGGTAAGCAACCTTAAATCGGGAATGGTTATGCTGTGTCTGTCAGTTTATCCAGGTGTTATATAAAGTACCGTTCAAGTTGAAAACACAAATACCTCTCTGTGGAATTTATTAATCGTGTTAAAATAGTCTAAGATTTAATTACTGATTGTTCGTTAACCAGTTCACCGAGAATTAAATTTTGATGAGTTTTTTTTTGTTTGTTTTTAAGTTCTTCAGGTATTGAAAAATTATAAAATGTTCAGCTTGAGAGACGTTCTATTAAACTGGGTAACGAGCACTTAGTTCGTAACTTATATTAGAAGTAGTTTAGAATTCAAGTTTAATTTAAACTTGAGAAAGAGTTGATAATCTTCAACAAGATTCATCATCGTGAATTTGGCTAAATCATTATGGAATGATTCAGTGTTGTCTTATTTCAGTAGGTATTAAAAGATATTTTCCGAAATAGGA